AAGGAGAACGGGGTGAACCAGGAACAGCGGAACACCTAGAAGAAAGAATGAGGAAATTGGAAGGTGATTGTTTGAACGAATCATATCGGAAAGATTTTTCCATTAGATTGATAAATTTCAATTTATTACAAATCATTTATTCTCAATATAATATTTTTTGATTTAACGTGCAAAGAAATTCACCTCAAACTGAACACGACTCTTGTATTGTTCAAGACAGAACTGTTATTAAAACTCTAAATTTCAAAATATTTTAACAATTTGTTAATCATCTAATTTATTCATTTCAGATTCATTCCTGAAGAGTCAAAAGTTCATGAAGAATATGCTAAATTGTAAGCATTTTACTTCTGTCAAACATATGCCGAAGATCTTGATTTGAATTGCATTTGTATATTTCCACCTTTTCCGGCTTCAATCATTTGCTTGAAAATAAAACAGATTAATGTCAAAATCATTGAAATTAAACAAGATTAATATCTGTGTACGGCCCACTCTGTGCCAATAACTGTTTTTATATCAGACATAAATATTGCATGAATAAATAAATATAAATATTGCATAAATAAAGCATTTTAGAGAAATAGGCAAACTGAGTCGTTTTGAGCGGCAATCATATGACAATGGCAACTTTTATTATAAGGTTGAGAGACTTTACTTCATGTCACTGAATTAATTATGATTGCTCATAATAAATACGATAGTCTGTTATTATATCTAACCTCGACGAAAAAATATTATCAAAAACTTATACAATAATTATGGTTTCAATCGCATGTTCCCACATTTGTTTCCGAAGTTCTGCCTCCCTACAATGCTCCCAACTAAAAACAATCAAGATATGAAATTGCCTACCATACACAGCGTGGTCACTTCTAATTTCAGCTGAGATTTGCTACATGGGTGTCAAGAATCGTTATATCATTCCTGACTCACAAATCACAGCTTCATCATTTGATGGTCCCAGTTATCAAGCTTATTATGGAAGATTGGACAATGTGGATCGTTCTGGCGGAAAGTACGCTGTTTGGATTCCTGGTAGAAGTAAGTTATTTTGATTTTCTACAATTAACATAAATAATCATGGAAAATCACTGACAGTTTGCGCTTCAAAATATACTATTTTCGCGTTTGCGGAAACTATGTCTTTATCCAAATTTTTTATTTATACAAATTTATTTGAATGTTTGTTAAATTATATCATATTTGACAAGTACATAAGTTCTCAATAAAACTTCAAAACAAACTTTAAATTATTTCGCACTCAATCATGAAATTGAAAGAGTTCATTATCACGGTCAAAAATATCTATCATATAACACAGAATGCAATGAATCGTATAGTAGTTATTTCTGGTAAATCTTTCTGCACTTATAGTGCAATGTGGTTACTATTTGATTTAACTTTGATTTCTAGTAAGTTCTTCTGCCTGTTGCAAAATTATAGAATTTAGACTGGGTGCATTAAAAAATGTAAGTGGGATGATCTCTTCGTAGAATATTAAAATAAATGATTCATTTTTATAGGTGCAATAGGAGAATGGCATCAGGTATATTTCAAGGCGCCAAAACCAATAGGAGGAATCGTGACACAGGGACGAGCACGCAACGATAATTGGGTTCGGTCTTTCAAAATATCGTATGGAAATTCTACCAGCGCAATGATAACAATACAAGAGAATGGTTCAGACAAGGTAAGATAGTATCTCGAAACTCTTTTTGCCTTTATAAAACTGCATTTAGGATGTATTTAGTAATCAAGCTCGATTTGCAAATAATAATGATTTTCAACAGTTTTATCATAATATGGGATTTTCTAGTCATTGTTAACAAGCTAGTCAGCAGCGAATTTGGGGTGTTTCATATGGAATTCAAATAAAAAACATATATATATAAAAGAAATAGTGACTTATTATAAAACTATACCCATTAATTAAATTAGATACCAGTTAACTTGGCAAGGAGACAGCAAAATGCATGAAAAACTCTTATCAGAGAAATTTGTTGACAAGCGGGGAGTTCTACACTTCATAGTGGCTATTTCTTACTTATATCAGAGCCTTTGTCAACACTCAAGATTTTTTTCATCAAGAATAAAATCCTAATCCGACATTTATGTTTAAAAAAGCGCTCACATGATTCTTGTCGCTGCGTTAAATCTTCGGCCGTTTGCCTGTTGCCTTTATAGCTGTAAGGCTGAACAAGAATTTTTTTATTCGGTATTTACATGAAAAAACTATTTTTTGTGTAGCCCAGCTAGATGTCTGAAGTTGGTTATAGGGCCCAACGACAGAAAATGTTGCAATCCCCTAATTTAGATTAATATATACTCAACTGTAATCCAACTATCACTTATATTTACTATATTTTGATATGATCTACTGAACTTATTGTGATACTTTTGATCCTTATTATATATTTTAGATATTTACTGGAAATAATGATAGAAGAACCAAGGTCACCAACATGTTTCCGAATGTAATAATATGCCGATACATTCGAGTTTATCCTCAAACATGGTATGGTCACATGTGCATGAGATTGGAATACATTGATGGAATGTGTCATGGTTTATTGTAACTGACATGGAATCAACTTAGATTAACAGTAAATACCAATCTGCAGTGCGGTGGTGTTATAGCGAATGGCGTTCGTTGATCTCAATTCTTCAGCTTCACGACTTAACTAGAATGCATGCCAACCAATGTTAAGTTTATAATTTTGTTTTTAAACTTTTATTTATCCATAGTGCGTGTAGATAAAACAATCCATTTTCGTCAATTGTCGACTGTTCTGCTTTACTTTGTTTTTCGCGCTAATATACTTGAGCATCGCCCCTTGTCAAAAGGTATAATAGTTCAGGAACTTTTTAAACATTTGTTAAGGTAAGTGTATTCGAACAGTTTGTTTCCTGAAAAACTTTGGTACAAAATGTAATAAATTGATCTTGCTTAGAACAGTTAGTCAAATGAAACAGTCGACCTATATGTTTATATCTTGTGAAAAGTCTTCAATATATCTGATGGTCGGTCTTTGCTTTATCATATTATGAGAACAAAAATTATGTAATTAGTAAATCACGAATCTCAAATCAACTCAATGATGAAAATCTGCTTCTAAACGCGGATAATTGTCGTGACAACAGTTTTGTCATTTATTAATTTTTGGCCGTGTATATTGCCATATTAATGTGTTTTGTGTTCGATGAATTTTAGCTCAACTGTCATTCTATGTCAGCGACATGTTATCTTTGTTGTTACAATACAATATGCTCCGTATTTGTTTTCAGTTCTATAACATGGGTCTGGGACCAGGTCGTTTTGTTAGCTATGTATTATTTGCTAGAAAACGAAGCGTACGAAATCAAGTTAGCAACGATTGGCAAATGCAAATATTTATTTTGAAGGAGTTTAAGACAAGACATCACTCAGAGTAGAAAGTCAACAATATTATTAGAAAATTGAGGAAGGAGGTAAAAATATTGGGATACAATACGATAATATGGGAAACGTGTTTGAATATGTTGAGGATGTGTGATTAAATTATGTCTTCGCTACGTTTTTGAAAAAATTTTCAGCAAATATCATGCCCATGATGCAGATACCAAAATGAGGTATATGCTATATTTCGTTTTGGAAATATTCGAATTCGATTTCTACGTTATCTTTATCTGTGAGTTATCACCTTTAGCCTGCGCTCTTATATTTTCTATTTTATTTTTTGTGTCTGTTCCTAAACTTGATAATTTGTCATGTTTCAAGGAATATTGTTCGAATAATTTTTAGATCTTCGGTTCAGCAATCTGTACAATGTCCTGCTTCAGCCCGAGGAGTGATTCTCTCATGTCTATATGTTTTTGTGCCACTTGCTACCATATTTGCAACCAACTTCAAGTGTTGAAATATATACAAGACTTTGCAGGAATGTCTGAAACAAACTGGGTACACGAATACTCTACTAACCTGATATACTTTTGTTTTTACTGATTTAGTAATAATCTTCTTGTGAAGTCTATTAAGACAAGCTAAGAAACTGGAACCTGATATACATACTTACTGCTCAAATACTCTTTGCTTCATGTAAACAGTTGATCCTAAACATGTGGAGTCTGAGAAAGCCTACATTAGATTTCGGACTCCAACGCCGCGGGTCAAATTTAGACTCACCAAACACTAAACAATTGCAAGAAAACAGAACATTGATAACAAAAACTTTGATTTATACGTGTTTTTCAATTATCTTTAAAAATGCAAGGAAAAATCATGCTTTTCTGCTAAAAATTTTGACTTTAACCATTAAAAATCTGACTTCTGGCTACAACTCGAGGATTCAAAATTTGGACTCCAGAATTAGAAATTTAACTCAATCTCAGCCTCCAGTTTGAATGAAATCATGCAAAACTCCAGAATCTGACTCTACAGCCCTGGTTGATGTATCTTTTTTATTCAAGTATTTGTTTTGTCTTTGATTCAATTGAGGATATTACTACTTGTTTTTTCGGTTTTTGCCATATCTGGCATGAGTTTTCAACTTGCTTGGTAAACAATTATGAATTTGTTAATACTGGGTAATCGTGAAAACAATTGATCAAATTTTGAAATCTAACTAAATCAAATCATCGCTAATACGAAAAATAGCGATATTTTGCAATTTTTGAAACTTCTAAAACTGCCAGTTTCTTACTATTGTGTTGTGATAATGTTAAATATGCAAGTTCTATCTACAATTTGTAACCAATAGAAAAGGATAAAAAATGTTCTGTTAGTTATGATATGCCTGAGTGTCAACTCTAAGTGGTGTTGCTTTTAGTTTTGGTGTGATATTTTGTGTGAGAATAAGCTAAGGTGTTCAGATAGCATTGTGAGTAGGGCTGTTATAGTTTGGTGCCTGCTTCTTCGTGGCATGTCTGTACCTAAAAACTGGACTATCTTTTTTTACAAGCATGTTGAACACTTTGTTCAGTTTTCAAATGAAATTGATTTAGTCTAGTATACTACAAGATAAACTTTTCTCATATCAAACCTGGAATGGTAACTAGGCGAGAAGTCGTTGCTCACCATGTGTTAAGTCATCCTACCAACTTTCATATCTTGATATAAATACAAAAATCCTGTCTTATTCTACTATTTGAGTATATATTTTATACTTTTTTCTTGTCACAGTTGATCAGACAGTATTTTTTTCAAACTCATTGGTTTTATTTTTCAAATTTGTGAATATATAGTGCAAATGAATATTAGCAGTTATGGCCTTGAACACCATGAATTTCTATCAGGCCAAATTTTTGTTCCATATTCTAAATGAAATATTATTATTATATTCTTAAGTCATATTGACAATAACTTTGAAATGTGAGGGTTTTTCTGTTTATAATAGATATTTAGATATTTTTATATAAATTACTCTCTTTGCTAGAACTAAGTAAAAATTTAGCATAATATTTGTTTATTGTGTTGCGTATTGTCATATTTTAAACTCATAGATGATCCTATAATTAATCAGATGTCAGTGAATTTTTTTTTTGATATGAATTGTAGAGATATATTTGATAATTCAACTCAATAGAATTGTATTGTTTTCCAATTAGAGTTTTGTTATGTGGAGCCACAAGTGTCACACAATTGTTGTACCATTGTACCAATTTCGGTTGAATATCATTTTTGCTTATTCTAGTATTTAGCATACACATGCAGGTTTCTGCCTTTGTTTTAAAATCATGTGATATTTTGTTTATTTTTATTTAGTTATTATTTTTTGGCAAATATGGAGTTGTAATTAAAACTTCAGGATGTGGAAGTGGATGCCAAAATGGATATTTTAGTTCTTTAATTTACTCATTCCGATGTAGACTTGTTAGCTGGAGGGATTTAGTGTTTTTTGGTGAATTTATGCATTTTCTGTACATTATATTTTTCTTGCGGTCTGTCTTCGAATAAAATGGCATTTATGGAATGTTAGAGTTATTTTTGCCATTTTTCTATTTTTATTTTTTTCCACATTTAAGTTCATCAGCTCAAGGGCGGGGCGCATCCGGCTAAGGGTAAGCGTTAGAAATACACTCACCACAGCACCTCTAATTACCCTGCTGGCTTCGCAGGTTCGATTCGATAAATATGCCGCTGGACTCCTAGACGCCAATAAGTGGTTCCCGTAGCTGTTGGCCAGTTACGTCTTCCTCTACCATCAGGTCGATGCATCTAAATACAAATGACTAGCTAACTATTCCCATACCCGACATGAACTGGTAACTGGACGAGTTGCCAAGGTTCGCCATATGATTAAGCCGCCTTATCGGCATTCCTTTCCCCGGCATAAATATGTAAATCCTATCCTAAGTGCCAAAAGACATTATGGATAGGATTTTGATCGTCGGGTCAATTTCGTTCGATTGCCAGGTAGGAATGGAATAGCCTAACCAGTCGTGCGATGGAGCAGAATTCATATTGAAATCTTTTGATATAAATGGAGTCCAAAGATATATGTTTATTTCGAGAACGTCATAATCGAATTTGCCAGCAATAAAACAAATCCAGATCATAAATTTGGAACAGCAAATGAAACCTATGTGAAGTGAAACATTAGAATAAAATGAGTTCACAAGAGAAATGGTGCATGTTCATTTAGTAAAAATGGAATATATGGAATGAACAGAGTGAAACGTGAAAAAAAATTGTAAATATGTATATATCGCTAAGATGAGTATTGTTGACGTCAATTTATACCGAAATGCCCGTATTTCGTGAGCAATAAACTATGTTACGTTGGGCATTCATCGTATTTCAAATATTGGACATGTCTTACAACGCGCAGAGTATGGTAGGCCTGAACTAAATGATCTCCAATATTCAATTTTATATCCTCGCTTTCTCGCAAAGCACGTACCATCGATGGTAACATGGAACGTCATTAATTTGCCACCCCCACGCTCTATCCATCAGCGCACAATCCTCCACACCATTATCGTTGTTTGGTTCCCTGCCTATCCAGTTGGTATTAGAACGAGTTGATGGCGTTCCATCGGCCCATACCCAGTGGCCTTCCTTTGCAATGTCTGTCAAACCTGCCCACACGTGACTGTTGCTTCCTTGTAATAATTTCAATCTTATTTCACTGAAAAAACAAACAAAAACAGTTAGAAATATTATATTATATATATATATATATTGAGAAAAGTACAGTATCCGTATCGTATTCACGAACTTATATCCAATGATTGAATAATCACTAATTATCACACGTTAAGAGGTTTCCTATCGCAAACAGTAATTTTTTTTTCACCATTCTAAAAATACATTTGTGTGCAAACAGAATGAGGAAGAAGGTATTTCAAGGCGAGTGGAGGTCCAAAAAAACAATATATTACTGGTTATCAAGCAGGGTCAAACGTAACTTAATAGATAATGGATAGGTGCGTTGAGATTGCTGAAATATTACTGCATACATCGGGAAGGATTAACTGGATACTCAAAATGGACTGATAACGGGTGATAATTCGCCTTTTATTCAAGTCTTTTTATCGCCGATCCATTTTTTTGGTGCACAGACAGAAGAAATTAGTTCGCCTAATTCATTGTAGGAAACCAGAAGGACGTCTTATATATATATTTCATAGTCCATAACAGGCCTGTCTGTTTACTGAAATAATGTTTACTCCACATGGTACTTACTTTCGTATTCCTGCATCTCTCAATCCCGCAGATGCGGTTATGGCACCCAAGCTCTCACATTTCTTTACCGCGTCTTGATATTGTACTTGAGTGTACAGGAGCTTGTACATCTTATTGTTTGCTGCAATATACCATCCAACTTCTGATGCTTGAGCTCTTTGCTTCTCTTTTATTACTCGGGCGGTTTCTATCTAAACGTGAAACATACTGATGACGCTGCATAAAATCTCAGAACATCTGCAATCCTCGTTATATTTTCAATGAAAATATTCGGCTAGCCACGTTTGACTCCCTCAGGAACAGGACGTTTTCATTTTGGTCAACTCCACCTTTTATTATCTAAAGCAACAGCCAATATTTGCATTCTTCTTGCGCAGATGTGGGCAAATATTTTGCGTTGAGGGGTGATTTAGCGAAAATTAATTACTCGTTTCAAAAGACCATATCATATAGTTACGTTTTATTAAATACGAGAGTGTCGAATTTAAAGGTGGCCGACATTATAACATGAAAAAACATACAGCATCAGCTAGTTTGGAATCGATAGTGTTGACATTTTGCTGAATTGTAAATATTTTCGCCTCTAGTTGACTCTTCAGTAATGCAATGCTTGTATTCAGTTGAAGAATATCTAAAAAAATTTCAACATTTAGTAGATAAAATTTGAAACGTTGATCTTCGAATGAAAATGAATGCCATATACCATCCATGAATTTGTTTTCCTTTCTTTCTGTTGTAGATTCCATTTCTTTGACGGCATTTTCCAGATTTTGCCGCAAATCACTTAATCCCGATTTCACTTTTTGCATCCTAATATTTGTTTCCGTTTGGGCAACTATATAATTTAAAACAAAAATTATATTTTTCTTCAATGATTAGCTGTGAATTCAAAAAACCATGTTTTACCTTCCATCGGTAGTACCGTCCAAATGTCAAGCATTGCCAACGTTACCAGACTTGCAGAGATTATTAGCACAGTAATATATGATACGTTCCGTTGAATCTCTGAAGATAAGTAAAGTTGGAATAACTTGCACTATTAAAGTTTTCTGGAATTATTGACACGACTGAAATTACGATTTCAAATGGAATCGGTATTAGTTCACGCTTCAGGCATAAAGTAATCAGTAGAATCCAGCTGCAATAATTCTGTGGCAAAGCGATGGTGAAATTATAGGAGAATATAATATTGCAGCCAACTTCAGTAGACAGTTTTTACACTTTCGATTACCGAATTTTACGGACAATAAAACACTTTTAAAATTCATTTTTTCGCACAAATCAATCGTGTGTCTTGTAAAGCAAATGTATATAGATCAGAGAATCGGTACGCGGCGCGGATGCGTGGCTCAACGGGCTAAGCGTTAGGAATACACTCGCCACCGCACCTCCAATTACTCTGCGTGGGTTCGCAGGTTCGAATCCCATGCAGGGATGGTTATGTGCGAGAGGATTGCTGGACTCCTCGCCGTCGTTGGGTGGTTCACGTAACCCCTGGTCGGTTACGGCTTCCTCCACCACCATGCTTCCGAAAACAAACAATATAACTAATCCCATACCCGACTTGGAATGGTAACCGGACGAGAGGCCGTGGTTCGCCATATGGATAAGCCGTCTAATCGGCTTTCCTCTCCACCGGGATAAATATGTAAATCCTATCCTACTATTGTTTCATATACAGATCGCCGTCTTACGTAATAAACTATGTTTTACCTAATGGGCCGACGGTAAAATCAATTTGAACAATTTATCGACAATTCGACTCATGCTCCGTGAATACGGTTGGAATTTTTTGATTAAAGACGCTTCAGCTTACTACGCTTAGCTTCGCATAATAGATCTATCGATCACAGCATGTGAATTATGCGAAACATACGGTTCCATTACATTTGAACCCACGTACATTTAAACCCATGACAATTGCACCTGTATGCTATTGCATCTATGGAATTTTTTTTGTTTCACGGATAGTTAAACCCATACTAACCCTAACCCATGGGCTTTAGCACCCGCATATAGATTGAACCCGTGGATATACGCATGGGTTCAAATGTACGTGGGTTCAAATGTACGGTCACCGAAACATACATATACTAAAGGACGAACAACGTTCAGGTACCACTGAAACAGAAACGATTTTTATGCATAGTTTACATTAGAAGGACCCATTTGCCCACTCCAGGAATAGGGTAATCATGAAGGCAAATACATATTACATAAGAATAAATTTAACCTTCAACTGTATCTCTGCGAAAATCTTCTCTCGTGTTCTTCATTTTCTCTGACACAACATATTTGACAGTTCTCATAATTTTGTCAAGATTTTCAACTTTGTCTCCAATTTTGTTGATTTTGTCCAAAGAGACTGAAAACAAAGGTAAAACGATTCGATCAACTCAATTTAGAAGAATATGTGAAGATGCAATGCAACGAGACTGAAAATATAAAATGTGTATATAAAGATGTTCCGGAACATTACTATTTTCATGTATAAAATAAATTTAATCGAATAAACTTGAGTCAATTATAATATGCTTCATGATAAGAGGACCCCTTTGTCAATCACCTTTACCTTAAAATAGTTATATTGTCATCCCACTACACCATATTTTCTCATGACACTAAATCACTCGCTAGTCACTGAATACTTGCCTTTGTCAATAAAGGTCGATGGTTTGTTCTTTTCCTTTGCTGGCATTGTTGTCATATTTTTAAATATTTCAGCTATTATTTATATGGTTCTGATTCTTTGCTATAAAACAGAACTAGCATTAATGGCGAATATAGATTCAAATTACAATGTTACTAGTTTACTTAGAAAACGCGCTACCGGTGTTAGCTAATACGAATGGTTAAATTCCAGACCAACTATATTTTTCTACAATCAAAATGAATTCTATGGATACTATATTATATATATCGTTTGCACGTTTCACTCCTGGCTACTGGCGTATAAATGGCTGTCTTGAATGTCATACATTCTGAAATATCGAGCGTGGGAACTCAACACTGTTCGTTTCGTATTGGCGAGATTTACGGATATTTCAGACACGAAAATTGTTTTAAAATAAGTTTGAATTTTCAGATACTATGAGGAAAAATAACTGTCCACAAATATCGTAATGAATCAGAATCATATTATATACGTGTAAAACTTGGACGCATTGCCCATATTCCATCAGAGTTATAGATTAAAAGTAAAGTTTTTTGCCTGTTGTAGATATGGGATAATAGCCCTGCTATGCCTGAAGTATTTTGTTTCGGCTGAAAAGCGTGAGAGCGCATTTATCGCCGGTGCATTCTTTGGAACTGATACCTGTATTGTTACCATTATTCTGTTTTATATTGTCCGGAGGTATCAGGTAAAGCGTTTGGCATCTTGCGAACGAATTGCCATACCTTTGTCTTCGAGAGCTTAGGAATATGGCTACGCTAAATAATCGTGCGAAGAAGTCGGTTGGAAAAGTAAGTAGGTTATTAAACAAATAATGCGGCTATTTTTATTGAATTTAAATTACGGTATATGGATTTTTTGGAATTTGTGTGTTTATCCACACTTTGACGCTCATAAACCAAAAAGACCTCGTGTGGCGTATTGTGCAACCATAATCATATCTGCTCTTTTATTTAATGTCATATCTGGATTTATCTTGGCAAACAGAGAAAAATATCTGCTTTGCATCAATTTTCTTATTTCTAATACTCAGATCGAAAAGGTAGGAGAAAATTTAAAAAACGTGGAAACCATATCCAATCTGGTGGATGATGTATCGAACATAACAAGCGATGCAGGTTAGCATAGAACTAGGAATGAATAATATATATCCAGGCGGGTTGTCCACAGGAAACGTCCATCACACATTTGTATTCTCCACAGGACAGATGCTATGTCATAGCAATGTGATACGTCAAAACTAAACTTGGTCTTTATACCTTTTTACTCTTCTTTTTTACTTCATATACTTGTATACAGACAATGCAGGGGTTCTCGAGCGGTAGGGAAAGCCCCACAAGGGGGCGTAGAAGATTATTCAAGAGGCGTGAAGCTCATAAAAAATCGAGATATTTGTTAGATTCGATCTTGACCTCTTTTACATTTTAAAACTTTTCATTCATTTCCTTATTTACGTTCCACTCACGTATTTGCAACGTGTTTTTGAATAAAACGTACATTCGACTTACTATCTGTTATAGCTTATGGTTAGCTCGTTATTTGCGAGGTAGAGCGCGAGACTTGACAAATTCTAAAAAGGGGGCGTCGCTTAAATTTTTTAGTTCAACTGGGTGTATGTATTATTTATTTTGTGATGAGACACCTACAGGGTTGTTTATGAAAATGGGGTTTCCAATGAAACCCCCAGGCCTTGTCGATGGGAATGGGATTCCCATGGGATAGGACATCAGAGAAAATTTCCCATGGAAAAGCCTGACTATCTCATTGGGTCAATCAGCATCTGATTGTTCGTTAATATTCTACATTACATTTTCAGGCATCCATGCTGAGTTAACAAGAAGAATCGAGGCTTATGAAAATAGAATGAAGGAATTGGAACAAGAAGTTTTCAATAAAAATGCTGACGGTAAAACCCACCATTCTTCTCAAATTACTGTCTGATTTCTCAAATTTTATTGCTGAGTTGTAATGCTGAGCTGGTAGAAACATTTCTCATTCATGCCCTGACGTGGGTATTATAGATTTAATATCAATATATATTCATTTTCCAATGTCAACTCCATGTCTACAGTGTATATTGCTTTGAGTAGACGACCAGTGGTGGGATTCAAAAGTTTAAACGGTTTTCTTTTATGTTGGACTCAGTAAAAAAAGCTTCCGTCATTTCAGAAAGCCATGTCGAACATATTGCTCCGAAAATACTAGCGATATGCTAAAAACGGGTTCGTTCGAACTCGTGCGAACCCTCCGAATCCAACGATTGTAGCCTACACTCCCGAAAAGAAAAACCAAGTCTCATAATTTTCATATTTAATCCGAAACTGAGTAAATAGTTGCTGAGAAATAACAACCATTTTAATTTTCAGTTTCGCCACTCCGAAAAGCATTTTACACAACTGGAATTATGGCTGTTGTGACGATATTCTCATTTGTCATGTGGAACAATATGATACATCGTGAAGGTATGCGTTGCCTGTATCGAATAACCTATTGCCCTAACGTTAAAGTGTCGCTTTACTCATGACCCTGGTGAATCTGTATTTCGTACCTCATGACGTAAATCACGAAGTGTTGTGATTTAATAACAATGCAAATATTCTCAAGTAATATTTAGAACAGTAACATAATATCTAGAATCTAGATCAGTGGTCGGCAACCCTTTGTCGCTCGCGGGCCAAAATTAGGGGTTGCAACTTGCAAGTCATTGGCGGGCCGCACATATTTTTAGAAAGTTGAAAACCGAACAGAGGATACTTTTAGAATAAAAATCAAGCAGTGATCTCTCGAATAGAAAATAGATTTATTTCCTCATTGCATTGCATCTCAAAAAATTATATTTGAATTTTTTCGGCGCCATTGAACCCTTTGCACTTAGCATCAACTTTTCTGCGTTTCTCACAATAAATTCTGTTAAGTAAAAAGTATAATCGACACAGCAGCTGTTTTGATACTATAATTCAGTTAATCAGTTAATCGGATCCGGCCCGCGGGCCGTAGGTTGTCGACCCCTGTTCTAGATGATGACAACTCCTAAATTAAATTGAGGACAGCGTGAATACACGCCAATTTCAGCGTTAGAAAATTTTTAAAAGTTTGATTGAAACTGTTTGACATCCGTAAGACAAGGCAAGTAAGATAAGTATTCTTTTTTTTTAATTTATCAGAGCAAATTGGACAACTTCGTGAACATTCTGAACAATTAAATGAAATTTCATCACACGTGTCAAATATCGAAGGAGAGCTATCAAAAGGTATTGAAATTTTATTTTAAACGGTAAAAATAAATGTGTCTCTTAATTTGAAATGCAATGCCGAGTATAAATAAATTCTCAATTATCACCAACTTACTGTTAAGAACGTCATATACGCGAAACATCTGATTGCAGAAAAGTATCGCTGGATAATGCAAAGATTTTGAGCAGAAACGGAGGCCTATTCGATATTTATCACAATCGTCGAAAGATAGAAGTTTTTTGTGATTTAGAGACAGATGGAGGTGGATGGATTGTGAGTAAACAATTTGCATATCGCACTAAATTGAGTGTATATATCAAAACTGCTCGTCGCGAGTCAAATCGATTCACTCGTCATTCTCAAGTCTGATTTCGAAATCGGTTCATTCATTGAGTTATGGACTCCGTTATAAGGACTAGAGACAATACGAGTTTTTAATAAATAGTGACTCGAATCAAACTCGGAAAGTATTGTAATTTTACGAAGTCTAATAAGTGAAACAATATTCTTTCCACGAGGTATATTTTGTTTTTCAGAAGAATAAGTCAGATTTCAATGATAAACATAGTATTTTTTATACATTTATCGTTTTGCCTATATATTAATTATTTAGGTATTTCAACGCCGGATAGACGGATCGGTTGATTTTTATCGGGGATGGGACGATTATGTGCTCGGATTCGGAAACAAAGAAAAAGAGTTTTGGTTAGGTAGGTTTCTGTTGAACTACTGGACTACTGGTCTTCTAGAGTTCGGCACCTGATACATATCTTATGACTACTTTCAGGACTTGAAACCCTGCACAAACTAACATCCGATGGAAGAAAATATGAACTCAGAGTTGACATGGAAGACTGGGAAGGACATGCAAGATATGCAAAATATTCGTCAGTCCGTTGTTCACTTTTTATAATGCTTTTGTCTTTGAATGATAATGCCCAAATATTCAACAAAAACTCGCTGAACAGCAAACTTGCTGAAATACAACCAATGTGGATAAAATACTAGGTGAAATCGCAGCTGACAAGTAACCAAAAAGGGGGAGTTTTACAAATCAACAAATTAATTTACCAGTTGTTTTTGCTGTATTTTAAACGACTCGTCACCACTGCTATATAAAATTTATTAGCCTATTGATTACTATACACTCAAATTGTGCTCATTTGCACACTCAGCACATGCAGACAAATCTTAGTGGGTAAACAAAGAACATGGTTTTCTGATGTAAAAGCTAAAATTTTATTTCATAGATTGGATTAGAAACCTGCCATTCCCACGCCAGGGATTCGTTCACCAGTTTAATATAAATATCTCTTTGCTTTTGAGATGGCCTGTTTCAAATGCATATCATTTTGTTACAGATTGTTTAAAATTGAATCCTATGCCGTCAAATATCAAATAGGTGTGAATGGGTATTGGGGCAACGCTGGCGATTCTTTCAGTGGGACAAATGGGAAGAAATTCACGACAAAGAATAGGGATCTTGACACGCACGAAAAAGTAAATTGCGCTGTGGCGCACAAAGGAGCATGGTGGTATAGTGCTTGTCATACGTCCAATTTAAACGCCAAATACTATGAAGGTGAACACAAGTCCTACGCGGACGGTATAAATTGGTATACATGGAGGGGACATCATTATTCACTAAAATTCACCGAGATGAAGATACGTCCAGCTGCTTAGTGTAAATAAAAGATTACCAATATACCCGAGCAACATCATTATTACCTAACATGTCATGTGTTGTCTAGCCAAACACATAAGACATATATATACAAAGAGATATAAAGACAGAACAAGTAGTGCATTGTAATATAATGCAGTGATACTTATGCTATTTTAGCGATTACATATAAATAGTTACTGTGTATTCTAATACTTTTCACCACTCATTGTTAATAGTGTGTGTTATTTGCCTCACACAAAGTCGTTGCCTCAGTCGTTTCCTTGTGATATTTTTGTACAACATTTTAGGCGAAAATGTTGATGACGTATTTTCCCTCTCTCAAGTGTTGCTTGTCTATGTTTTATCGTTTTTAGTTAGTTGGAAATTTAGTTTCACCACATATACTTTCATTAAGGTTTTGAGTGTATTCTTTATCAGGTATTTGGATCAATTCTATTGTGCAACTCTGCAATATGCGAACATTTGGCATTACAGCCTATTGCGTGCTTATAGACGTCTGAGGGAGTCAGTGGGGTCACTCAACTTAAGTACGTTTAATAGTACTGGGGTAAGAGCACGCAGAATAAGTACCCACTCATTGCTATAATATATTGAGAGCTATTAAACGACCACACTTGGACTTTACTCCAAACTTTCCTCCGCAAATTTCTGTCGGCTCTATGGAATTCGTAACGTCATCCAAAATTGCGCACCTTGTGCCAGTTCCGCTTTTGTTATTCGTGAAGACTTCGGCACCTGTAGTGTACTGTGATTACATTCCCTTCATACTTCGTTTTGACCTTCGAGCCTATATATTTAAGCATCGCTCTTCTATTTATTATTTTCTTATATGTTATATGAATCAATACAACTTTGAAGTAAATTGGCTAGATTTGTTTAATTCCTTGACTGTGATGCATTTAATATTCCACTTTTTTTTTTTTTACTTTTTCAATAATAAATTTGTCGCATAAAATAACTGATGAAAACTCTACGAGCAAACACTTGGTATAAAAAATATTTGTATTGAAGAGCGGAAGACCAGAATTTGTGAGAATTTGAAAAGGCGGGAGCGATTAAGAAAGTTTGAGAACTACTTGTTTGGAATAAGCCTGCCAATAGATAGGGCTGGGCATTTCTGAATACCTGGTGATTTCAGAATCGAATATTTTTTTCGAATCGAAACAAACCATAAAATACAAGTTACCGATCACAAAATGGAGTTTTATTTGAAGGCATCAATTTTTTCCATGTAAGTGCGCCGTGTGTTTTTCCCTAATAATTTGGCGTCACACGAACAGACAGTTTGGGAACCGCTGGTATAGAAAATTGATACTACAAATAAATATAATAATTATGTTATTTGTAGACCGATCGAAGTCTCGTGTATTTGTAGATCGTTGCAGGCAATCATATAGCGTGATTTAGTGAAATTGTTAAATGTATGAAGAGCTGCATTCAAATATACAAGCAATTCTGGCTACGCGTATCTAAACTAGGTTAAAATATTTTTGTCGCTAGGTAGGGTTGTCGATACTGTTTTTTGCTCATACATTTATTCCACGGCTAATGTTAAATATAAATTTTAAAGTGAAGTGACGTTTAGTTTCAATCTAATGTATAAAAAAAGATTCACAGATCAGATAAGGTTAAAATACAGATAAATAGCTTTGTGATACATAGCATGTACAGAAGCCCGTGGCGAAAGTTGTGTCATGTGATACATAGCCTACACAGAAGCCCCCAGATATATATGACAGTTGCGTACCCCGCAACATGCTCATAAAGCGGAATGCCGATATGACGTGTCAATACGTTGATCTCTGATCCGTAAAAGAAAAAGGAAAATAATGACTATTTGAATGCATATCTGCAAACGATTGGTCAATACCTTCCATGCATTGATAAATTGAACTTTGATTATATTAGTTTTATTATATTGTTTCAATTATATATTTACTGGTGCGTCGAAGGGGGTAGTTTGACATGAATAAAAATTGGTATACAAAATTGGGCTCGATAAGGAGTGTCGAACAGGTTAAACAAATTTACCAAGCATATATAAATATATTAAATATTGATGACGTTATCGCCAATGATGTAATTTACATATATTATAAAATGGTTGTCCGCTATAAAACAGATAATCAAAGAATTTATCCATGCACTAAATGTTGAAAAATTCAATTTCTTGTCTGAGAATTAAAATTCATTGCTTTATGTTATAATGCATTTTATATCAAAATACATAGGCCGCAAGATAATTAGATATCTCAGAATTTGTCAATAATCGATACGTCGCAAGTTTTTCATTTTCTATTTCTGAACACAAAACCTGTGAAATAGTTCAAAGCTTTAACTGTTAAGTTAAGTAATAAAAAGCTTGATATAATCCAAATAAGGAAGTCCCCGAAACAAAACCGTTTGTTCACCCTTAAACTGCAGCAAATTAATTTTTTTTTTTTTTTCTGAAAAAGGGATTCTATTGCCTAATGAGGGTTTGTAATGAAAATATCTACTTTTTGCTCTACTAAAATTTACTAAAATTTTTATCTACTAAAAATTTTGCTCAATTTTGCTCGGTTACGTGAACCACTGTACCGAGCATATTTGTAGGCCTATCAGTTAAATGATGGGTCGAATTTGAGAGTGATGGTTCTGTGGTTGTCAGGATTGCAGACAGGGTGTTTTGCAGTGCGGTTTTCGTGCGTCAGTCCGCTTGGCCTCGAGTCTTCTTGGCGCCGAGCTAATCAATGAGACGTAAACTATGCGACATAACAAATTCTCAATAATTAGAGCAGGAGTGCCCATCCTTGTTCCTACATGTACGTTTACGACTGTTTATTACGCCCCCTCCTTCAATTACGTCTCAAATATTCTTGCATTGTGCTTACAGTGCAGTTGAAACACACACCACCGCGGTCGCATGTTGTGTCCCCTTGATTTAGAGATGATTCGTAATGTTTCCAGTTATAATATATGACTTGAGCTCGTGGTAGAGACTTCCCAAATTCTTCGTCCCAATATTCACCCCATTTACATAGCGAAGTTAATTGTCTTCAAATAGAACCTTCGTAATTTACTGGTTTCAATAATTCTATCGTAATTTTTATTAAATAGGTGTTATTTGCCAGAAAAGTTTACACATAATTACCAAGTAAAAATTACCCGGTTTTAAACGCTATTAATCATATTAGATTCCCTTGAAACCCTACTTAGGGGGAATGTTTTGAAGATAACAAGATATTACCAAACCTCAAAATTGGAAAATTAACCTATGCAATCCCGCCCATACTTAACTCATAAATCACCTCAAAGTTAATCAGATAGTATTACACTTACTCTGTCAAAAACAGATAATAATTTATGAAAAAATACTTCTCTCCGATATCATATAAATCAGACGAATACCAGCTTTGTAGAACAACAAAATGAGAATGTTTTAAAAATGTGTGAAAGTGTTAGTAAGTACTGCATTATGAAGTGTAGACGAGTCTGTGGGTGCACCACAAGTAAAATTGTTAAATGTAAATAATTAATTTTGTTGTAAATTATCTATTATTAATTTTAAATAAACAATTCTGAATCAAGAATCTTTCGATTTTTTGCAAAAATTCGGCGAAATTCAAAAATATCATTTTTGCTACTCTTACATCTGTGCAATAGTAAATTAAATAAATTTCTAATGACACAACGGTGTATTTATTTTGATCTATTTTAAACTTTGATACCGGTAATGATATATTGGACGTAAATTACGTCTGTTTTTTCATGAGAAAGAATTTCTAGTACATCGAACCTTTGTGCAGTTCAAAAATAAATGCATAATAGTTTTGAGGACATAATGATTATAAAATATTAGAAATAGGAAAATGTTTTTTATGAAATCTGACGAGTTTTTGTTCGATCATCAACTTCCTAACTAAGTTTAAATCAGCATCACAATTTCTATTTATTTGTGTATTCTAATTTTGTCAAAACAAGTAATTAGAATTTGTGACACAGTCAAAGAAATGAGGAGAGGTGTTTGAAATTTGGAATGAAATTATTTTGTCAATTATTTTGTTTCTCATCCGCCATGCTTTGATTGAGGGTGTCTTAATTTTCAGAGGGTAATGTAAAAAGAAGATAGATTTTCATACGGCGTAATAACATCTGAAAAATAATTATAAGTTTTAAATAGCATATCTTTAATTTTTTAGATATTGCCAACATCCCATACTACTAATAGTATAAAGCCAATTTAAGCATGCTTCATATGTGAAGCAAGTTAGGATTTAAAAACCCTACTTAGCTTTATATAAGATAAAAAAAATTAATTTATATAACATTTTGAAAATCTTCACAATCATACATTTTTAATCCAATTCTGCTAATACAATTTGAGAGTAATAGTTCTGCAGTTGTCAGTATTACAGATAGGGTGGGTGCATTCAATGTGGCTCTTTGTGCATCATCCGGCGTGGTCTCAAGTCTTCTTGGCGCCGAGCAAATCAATGAGTGTGCCATACAATATTATATAATTAAGACGAATAACAGCTTTGTAGAACAACAAGACGAAAATGTTCAAAGAGGGGAGAGTGCCAGTAAGTAAAGTATTGTGAAGTGCAGACAAGGTAACGGTGTATTAATTATTTCAAACTTGGATACCGGTAATTATATCTTGGACGTAAATTACGTCTGTTTTTTCTTGAAAAAGAATTTCTAGTACATTGAACATTTCGCAGTTTAAAGATAAATGCATAATAGTTTGGCAAATATAATGCATATAATTTATTATAAGTTGAACTAAATTCAAACCAGCATCCCATTTTTCATTTATTTGTCTATTCAAATTTTTAACAACACCAGTAATTAGAATGCATGGCACAGTTAAAGAACTGAGGATATGCGTTTAAAAATTTTAAATGATATTCTTTTAATTACTGTGTACCTCACCGCCATGCTTTTGCTTGATGGTATCTTAATTTTCAAGGGTATAAAGAGGGTAGATTTTCATACATCATAAGAACATCTAAAAAAATAGGTATAAGTAGTAAACAGCGTATCTTCAAATTTTGAGATATTGACAACATACCATACTAATAAAATTCATAGAGCTGACTTTACTGGAACGCAACATTCATATGCGAAGCAAATTAGGATTTTAAAAACCCTGCTTAGCTCCATATTGTAAAAAGATAAATTGATGTAAAATTTTGAAAACTGTTCATTTGTACATTTTCAATCCAATTCTTCTGATACAATTCGAGAGTAATAGTTCTGCGGTTGTCAGTTTTGCAGATAGGGAGGATGCTTTTCGATGTGGCTCTTTGTGCATCAGCCAGCTTTGCATCAAGTCTCGTCGGCGCCCCGCAAATCAATGAGACGTGAGCTATACATTATGATAAATTCTTAATATTTACAGCAGGAGCGCACAACCTTGTTCCGACAGTCTATCCCAGTACATTTTTGTTTAAGCAATACGGCCTCGACTGAAATCGAAGTATTTTTCTGAGTCGTTTTTATTAGAAAATTGGCTTCTATATCTCATATACTTGTGCCTAAGACGGTAATAAAAAAATTTCGTAGCTGCCAAATGCTGAATAAATTTAAAAAAAAAAATAAATTCGCTTATTGATCTTCTAATCATTTATGTACCATTGTTCATTTTTAGCACATCAATCATTATTATCGCACCCAGAAATACAAAAAAAAAAAGTAAAGTAAAAAAAAGAATATTTCAAATTAATTAAACAAGTATACTAATATGTGTACGGTGTCTTCTGATGAGGCGAGTGAGCTTGGTGATCTTCATGAAGTTTTCCTAATATGGAATATGGTTAGGTACGATTTCTATAAAAAAAAAAGTTGCTCTAATGTGCCCCCGCCCTATTTATTTGCACTATATTGTACCCTATTTGACTTCTAGTCTAGAGGGATATGTTGTCAACTTTGGGAATTACGACTTTCGGATATACGAAATGGAGGTGTCCTATTATTAACTTATTAACGTAGGAAAGCACGCCAATAACACCAAGCAATTATCTAATGCTAGTTAATTAATTCCTAAATACGTCTTGAATATTCTTGCATTGTCCTTATAGTGCAGCTGAAACACACATCACCACATAATTTAGAGATGATTCGTAATGTTTACAGCTATAATTCATGACGTGAGCTAGTAGTAGAGACTTCCTAAATTTCTTCGTTTAATCGTCTAAAAATATTTACCCCATATACATAGCGATGTTAATTTTCTACAAATAGAACTTTTCTAATTAACTTGTTTCAATAATGGTACTGTCATTTTTTTAAATACGTGATATTGGTCAGTAAGGTTTACACGCAATTATCAAGAAAGAGTTGCCCAGTTCTAAACGCTATTAATCATATTATATATCTTTGAAACCTCCTTCGGGGGAATGTTTTGTAGATGACAAGTTATTACCAAACCTCAATATTGGGAAACTTAAAAATACCATCTATGCAAGTTCGCCACACACTTAACTTCATTCATTTCTAAATTCAATTAGAGAGATTTACACTTACTGAAATGTCCCTATTCTGTCAAAACCAGAAAACAATTTATATAAAAATACTTTACACCGATATTATATAAATCAGATGAATAAGAGCATTTGTAGAACAACAATACAAAAATGTTTAAAACGTGAGATGTATAAAGTACTGTATTGTGAAGTGCAGACTAGTTTGTGGGTAACACCACAAGCAAATTGCAAGATTCAAATAATTAATTTTGTCGTTAATTCTCTGATATTAATTTTAAATAAAAATGCCCAATCTAGAATCTTTCGATTTTATACAAAAATTCGTGAAAATTAGAAAATAAAAATTTTTGCGGCTCTTACATACATCTGTACAATAATAGTAAATTGAATCAGAATTTGAAATTTTAATAAATAAATAAAAAAAATATAATGGGGTATATTTATTTATTTATTATAAAACAATTTTCTAATGACACAACGTTGTCCTAATTACTTTGACCCACTTTGAAGTTGTTAATGATATATTGGACGTAAATAAAGTTTGTTTATTCATGAAAATGAATTTCTAGTCCATTGAACATTTGTGCTGTTCAAAAATAAATGCATAATAGTTTGGAGAACATAATGCATATAAAATATTATAAATTAGAAAATGTGAAGAGTTTTTTGTAAGATCTGACGAAGTTTTTTTTTCATCATTAACGTCCTAAATAAGATGAAACCAGCATCCCAATTTCTATTTATTTGTGTATTTTAGTTTTGTCAACACCAGTAGTTAGAATGCGTGACTGAGTAAAATAAATGGGGATAGGTGTTGATGAAATTCTTTTGTTAATTACCTTGTTCCTATCTCGCCATGCTTTTGCTTGAGAGTATCTAATTTTCAGAGGTATGAAGACGGTAGATATTCATAGGACATAATAACATCTGAAAAAACAAGTCTAAGTTGTAAATAGCGCATCTACAAATATTGAGATATTGCCAACAACCCATACTACTAAAATAAATAGAGCTTATTTATCGGGAACGCATGCTTCACATGCGAAGAAAATTAAGATTTTAACTACTTCACTACTTAGCGTAAAAAGACAAGTTTACATGAAATTTTTCCATTTGTACATTTTTAATTCAATTTTGCTGACATAATTTACGCGTAATAGTATTTTGGTTGTCAGTTTTGCAGATGGGGTGCTTTTCTGTGAGATTCTTCGTGCGTCATCCGGCTTGGCCTCAAGTCTATTTGGCGTCGAGCAAATCATTGAGACGTGAGTTATATATAATGAAAATTTCAAATAATTTAGAGCAGGAGCGCACAACATTGTTCCTGCGGTCTACCCCGCGACTGAAATCAAAGTATTTTTATGCGTTGTTTTTCCCTAGAAAATTGGATTTTTATATCTCATATACTTGTGCCTAAGACGGTAATGATTTTTTTTTATCTCTTCCAATTCAATTCTGCTGACACAATTTAAGAATAATAGTTATTCGGTTGTTAGTATTGCAGATAGGGTGCTTTTCAGTGAACTTCTTCGTGCGTCAGCCGGCTTGGCCTCAAGTCTCTTTGGCGCCAAGCAAACCAATGAGACGTGGGTTATATATAATGGAATGAGCTTGTGGCAGAGATTTTTCGAATTTCTGCGTCTAATCATATAAAAATATTTTTATTTCACATATACATAGCGATGTTAATTTTCTACAAAAAAAATAATTTTCTAATTTGCTGTTTCAATAATTCTACCGTACTTTTTTTAAATAGGTGATATTCGACAGGAAAGTTTACACGTAATTTCCAAGAAAGAGTTATTCGGTTTTAAACTCCATTAATCATATTATATTCCTATGAATTCTTCTTTAGAGGAATGTTTCAAAGATAACAAGATATTACCAAACCTCAAAATTGGGAAACATAAAATTAACCTATGTGCAAGTTTGCCACATACTCAACTTGAGTCATGTCTAAATTTAACAAAAGAGTATTACGCTTACTTGAATGCCGCGATTCTGTCGAAAACAGAAACCAATTTATTCAAAAACACTTTATTCCGATATTATATAAATCAGACGAATAACAACTTTGTAGAACAACAAGACGAGAATGTTCAAAACGTGTAAAGCGTGCACTGTATTGTGAAGTGCAGACGAGTCTGTGTGTATACCACAAGCAAGTTGTTAGATTTTAATGATTATTTTGTCGTAAATTATAATAATTTAAAATATTAATTTTAAATAAGGAATGCGGAATCTCGAATCTTTCGATTTTATGCAAAAATTCGAAATTAAAATATAACATTTTTACTGCTCTTGCATTTGTGCAATAGTAAATTGAATAGGATTTTGAAATTTGAATAAATAAATAGAAAAAAAGATGGAGTATGTTTATTTATTTCTTATAAAATAATTTTCTAACGTCACAACGGTGTCTTAATTATTTTGATCTATTTTAAACTTGGATACCAGTAATAATATATTAGACGTAAATTACGTCAATTTTTTCTCGAAAAAGAATTTCTAGTACATTGAACATTTGAGCAGTTCAATAATAAATAACTAAGCAAATGTTTTGAGAACATAATGCTCATAAAATATTATAAATTAGAAAATGTAAAGTTTTGTTTGCGGAATCTTACGAAGTTTTTTTTTAATCAATAACGTCCTGACTGCTAAGATTAAACCAGCATCACACTTTATATTTGTTTGCGTACAGTATTCAAAGTTTGTCAAAATCAGTAATTAGTATGTGAGACACAGTCAATGAAAGTATGATAGGTGTTTGGAAATTTTGAATAAAATTATGTTGACAATTACTTTGTACCCCACCAGTAATGCTTCTGATTCAGATATCTAATTTTTAGAGAGGAAGGTATAAATAGGTAGATTTTCATACGTCATAATAATATCTGAGTAAACGAGTACAAGTTGTAAATAGCGTATCTTCAAAAACTGACATATTGCCAACACACCATACCACTAAAATAAATGGAGCGACTTTAACTGGACTAGAACGCATGCTTCATATGTTAAAAACGTTCCATTTGTTCATTTTTACTACAATTCTGCTGATATATTTCAGAAAATATTATCCGCAAATCTAATATGAAATTTATTGTTGGTGTCATCTTGATTTTGCTCTTTCCCTGTGTATTATGTCACATGCCAACATTGTATGAATTTTGTTCACACGTGGTGGCAAACGGCAATGCGAGTCTCGCCAGATGTGACTCGAGTCAGTGCCAGGGAAGGCCAGGAAAAAGAGGAAATGAAGGAATACGTGGACTACCCGGAGTAAAAGGAGAACAGGGCGAACCTGGAACGGCGGAACATCTAGAAGAAAGGATAAAGAAATTGGAAGGTGATGAGTTGAACCAAATAAGTCTGAGCATGTATTGTAATCGGTTAATTACCTTTCAATTAATACATGTTATACATAGGACATATTTCTAAATATTTCTTTTTTTTTTCTTTCAAGATTCTTTCCTGATGACTCAAAAGCAGCTTTTGGCAATCAAAAATCGTAAGTATTCTGCTACGGTTGACATATACAGAATTATACAGAATTCCAGAACGTGAAATTGTTATTTGATATTTCCCGTCTAAGTATAATGTTCCCCGAAATGTTCAGTGTTCCCAGCTAACAAAACTGAGACAATCAAGAAATGAAACGTCACATTATAAAACATATATATTAGATCAGGGCTACTAAACTATTTTCACCAAAGGTCCGTTTACAAAACTCCAAAGTTACTGGGGTCCGGGCATTTCAGAAAATTTATTTGATTAACTAAACGAAACTTCAAATGCATCATTATTTAAATACAAGAGCAGTAAATGGCTCACAAATATGGGTACACATGTCGCACATCGGCACCAATACGGCAACTGTATGGATGTTTTCCCAAGTTTCGTAACGATGGCCAATCAGCCAAAAATCAACGATGACGTACAACAATTAAATTTTTTGAAGCCGCTCAGACACTTCGTTCGCGCCGACAGATATTCAAGCATGACTGTAAACAAGCCGAGTTGTAAATTCGCGTGTTATTTCTCATAATTTTCCTTATGTCTTCCGATAAGCTTTAGTTTAGTTACAATAATCAAAATGAGTCCCCGGAAAGCTGCGATAGACTATGCTTTAATGAGCGTGTAAGCGGCACGCGGTTGTTATTTTTATAAAAATAATGGTTTTGAGCATGTAAATCGGTTTGTAAATGTCAACTCTCTGAAACACTCGCGAACTACGCATCCAAAATTTTGCAATAGTAAAGTAAAGTGGAAGCTTTACCTAAGGGAGGGCTCTCGATACGAAAAATATTTCCGTATAAATATTGCTTCGACTAACGTAAGATTTTATACGAAAGGCCGAAATGTCTAATTCCATTTTAATATTTAATTGTATTAGAATATAGCGACCTTCGAATATCGTTTTAGTGTTTATAAAAATATAGAATATCGAAAACACATCTCAGTGCCGCCGTCCACGTTTTGACTGAAAACATTTATTTCATTTTATGTCTTATTGTGATCGAAGTCAACCATGTGCGACGCAAGTTTTGTATTTCTTGCAATCTGCAGCGTATAAAATATTATTTACTATGCAGGATTTCATTTTTTGGCTCGGCGTCGTTGAAAATAAAATCGTCCCGTTTTAGTTGGCGGTATTGATTTTTGAATAAAAGCCGACAGGAAATATTTAAATTAGCTCCGTTTTCGAATATAAAAACAATATTTTCGTTCCTAAAGCTCCGTCTTTAGCGGATAGAAATTTGGGTGTCGCGGTCCGCCAGTTGCGTAGCCTTGTACTAGCTTATAATTCTGACAAATTTCAGCTGAGATTTGCTACATGGGTGTCAAGAATCGTCATATCATTCCTGACTCACAAATCACAGCTTCATCAATTGCTAGTGTAAATCATCAAGCTTATTATGGTAGATTAGACAATGTGGATCGTTCTGGGGGAAAGTACGCTGCATGGGCTTCCGGTAGAAGTAAGTGATTTTGATTTTCTACAATTAACATAAATAATCATTAAAAATTCCTGACAATTTGCGCTGCATAATGTACTCTTTATTCGCGTTTGTGGAAACTATGTCTTTATCCAAATTTTAAATTTAATCAAATTTATTTAAATTTTTGTTAAATTATATCATATTTGACAAGTACATATTTCTCAATAAAACTTCGAAACAAACTTTAAATTATTTCTCACCCAATTATGAAATTGAAAGAGTTCATTATCACGGTCAAAAGTATCTATGATATACCACAGAATGCAATCAAACGTATAGTAGTTATTTCTGGTGAATTTTTTCTGCACTTATAGTGCAATGTGGTTACTATTTGATTTAACTTTGAATTCTAGTTAGTTCTTCTGCCTGTTGCAAAGTTATAGAATTTAGACTGGGTGCAATAAAAAATGTGAGTGGGGATGACCCCTTCGTAGAATATTAAAATAAATGATTCATTTCCATAGATGCAATAGGAGAATGGCATCAGGTAGATTTCAAGGCACCAAAACCAATCGGAGGAATCGTGACACAGGGACGATCAATCAACGATCAATGGGTTCGGTCTTTCAAAATATCGTATGGAAATTCTACCAGCGCAATGATCACAATACAAGAGAATGGTTCCGACAAGGTAAGATAGTATCTTGAAACTCTTTTTGCCTTTATAAAACTGCATTTAGGATGTATTTAGTAATCAAGCTCGATTTGCAAATAAAAATGATTTTTAATAGTTTTATCATAATATGGAATTTTCTAGTCATTGTTAACGAGCTAGTCAGCAGCGAAATTGGGGTCTTTCATATAAAATTCATATAAAAACTTATATATAGAAGAAATAGTGACTTATTATAAAATTATACTCATTAATTAAATTAGATACCAGTTAACTTGGCAAGAAGACAGCACAATGCATGAAAAACTCTTATCAGGGGAATTTGTTGACAAGCGGAATATTCTACACACAAAATTGGTTATTTGTTATTTAGATCAGGGATGTGAAACAGGCGGGCTGCGTGCCACAACCAGGCACGCGATTTAGTGTGGCCCTTGTCAACACTCAAGATTTTTTTCATCAAGCATAAAATCCTAATCCGACAGTTTATGTTTAAAAAAGCGCTCACATGGTTCTTGTCGCTGCGTTATATCTTCGGCCGTTTGCCTGTTGCCTTTATAACTGTGAGGCTATGCGAGAATTTTTTCGTTATGTACATCAAAAAACTATATTTTGTGTAGCCCAGCTAGATGTCTGAAGTTGGTTATGTGGCCCGACGATAAAAATATCGCAAAGCCCTGATTTAGATTAATATATACTCAACTGTAATCGAACTATCACTTATATTTAATATTTATTATATTTTGTTAGTTCCTACTGAGTTTATTGTGATATTTTTGATCCTTATTATATATTTCAGATATTTACTGGAAATAATGACAGAAGCACCAAGGTCACCAACATGTTTCCGCATGTAATAATATGTCGATACATTCGAGTTTATCCCCAAACATGGTATCGTCATATGAGCATGAGAGTGGAATACATTGATGGAATGTGTCATGGTTTATTGTAACTGACAAGGAATGAACTTGGCAATCTACCAATAAGATTTTCATAGGTACAATATTAATGATTTTGCATCAGGTTATATTAACAGTAAATGAGAATTTGCTGTGCGGTGATGTTATAGCGACTGGCGTCAGTTTATCTCAATTCATCTGCCTTTTGCTTTGTTCCAATTTATCCACGATTTAGCTAGAATGTATGTGAAACAACGTTAAATTTCTAATTTTGTTTTTAAACTCCATTTATCCATAGTACGTGTGGATAAAACAATCCATTTTCATCAATTGTTGGAGTGTTCTGCTTTCCTTTGATGTCCGCGTTTAATATATTTAAACATCGCTCTCTTTCAACAAGAATAATTGTTCAGAAATTTTTCAAACATCTGTTTAGATAAGCGTATTCGGATTTTTTGTCATATAATTTATTTATTTTTTGCTTACTCTCCTATATATACGTATAAATTCATAAGATAAAATTAAAACTTTGGTAAAAAATGTATTGAATTGATCTTGCTTAGAACAGTTAATCAAATGAAACAGTCCACCTTTATGTTTAAATATTGTGAAAATATTTCCTGAGATATTTTCTTAATTCTATTATGTGAACAAAATTTATGTAATTAGTAAATCACGAATCATAAATCAACTTAATGTCAAAAATCTGCTTTTAAACCCAGATAATTGTCGTCACAACGGTTTTGTCATTTATTCATTTTTGGCCGTGTATATTATACTTATACCCATTCTACATTATTTGCCATAGTAATGTTTTTGTGTTCGATGAATTTTTGCTCAACTGTTTTTCTATGTCAGCTACTAGTTATCTTTATTGTTTTGCAATACAATATGCTTCGTATCTGTTGTCCGTTCTATAATGTAGGGTTTGGGGTCAGGTCGTTCTGTTAACTTTGTATTATAAAAATATAGACTTGGTTGTGGTTCACTCACGTTCTGAATAAATAAATGCCTCGAAGGGCCAGTTAACTCGCAAATTCATGATAAAGTCGCTGGCGGCATTTGGCGGTCATATCTTCCAGTAAAAAAGCATCTTCGCCATCTGGTGAACTAATTACAGAATATTTATTTCGTCGACCAGCACAGAAAAAGGCAGTACTCAACTGTCGTTTGAAGTAGCGGTCATCGACAATATTCCTGTTTTAAGTTTTGTCATCAGACGTTCAGTTGACAATCCACCAGATAACGACCGCTAGGGAACAAGGCAGTGGTACAACAATAATTTATTTTCGAATAGCGCCCCCTGAAAATATAACTGTTTTGCGTTTTGTCATATAGGGCGTACAGCAGTGCCGGATTTACCATTGGGTAAGGTAGAAGTCCTTAATGTTCAAAATGTTATTCATTTATATCTCGCAGCTAAATCTTGAAGGCTTGTTCAAGAATTTAACCGGTCCGAACTTTTTAAAAACCAACATTTATTTGTTTTTCTAATTGGTTATAAATTATTGTCGCAAATATTATCTATTTACAAGGTTAGAAATTAAATACAGTCTAATGCAGGGCTGGGCAATTATTTTTGCTATCGGGCCACATTGAATATTCAAAATGCCATGGCGGGCCGGACTAAGCAAAGCCAATTGTGCGTTTTTAATACATTTCTTCACACATTTAAATAAAACAAAGTACTATTGTACTCCGTTATTTTTATTTAAAGCACAATTATTTAAAACTAGTTTAAAACAAAAATATCGCGATTTCGAGACAATACATAGGATCAGAGAAACGTCACGCTTGCAAAACGATGCCGAATTCTATCATTAATGCTTAAAAGTGAGTAACTATGCGGAATTAGGACTATGCTATCGATGGCCAAACATTCGTGATTCATATAACTTTGTTGTCACCATAGCATTTTTAACGTAAACAGGGGTCGGGGAAAATTTTAATGGATTGGAAGCCGTCGCGAGCTTAAAAGTTTGGAATAAACTGCTCTAAAATACAACGTTTATCTGCGTATATAAAAATGTGAGATAAACTGCCGGAATATACCGGTACTTAATTTTGATACCTATTTTTGCAATACTGGTATATTTAAAATGCATAGATATTGGGGCATTAAAATGTCTTGCTTTGTTGTTTTAAACTTAACCCGTGATTGCTTTGACAAAATATAACCATTACTACTCTTAAATACCACCGCATGCCGCGGATATAAAAATGTGAGATAAAGTGCCAGATTACTTTTATTCGTGTTTTGCGATTTCGTGAAATCAACAAATGTGATTTTTTCTTGCAACAATGACTTGACTCTATTTTACAGATTTCACCAATGGAAAAATCCCTACGTCTGCGATAAAACCACACCAAGTAAAATTCAATTTAGTACCATAAAATCGTTTGAATTTACTTTACTTTGTGCCATGAGCACCAGAAATTTTTCAGTTTCCAATTTTTACAACAGCCTTTTTATTCTGTCGCAAGCCTTCTAAATCAATCTTGTTTCTGTCCAGTTTTTAGTATTTTATATTGCCGCTCTGAAATCTCGATTTAGGTTGGTTGCAGATGCACTCCTTTATCTTTAGCATTATTATATAATGACTCGTTTTTTTCAATGATTTCACAGTTCCGTATGCAAGACATATATATATGTTAAGGAAATTTATATAATTAATTTATATAATAATATATATATGGGGAAATTTGTGATTTGAGTAGAATAATTACCGACGTAAAAGTTTTTACGGTCTAAATAACATCTCGAGCTGACGAAAACAATTGGTCATTTGAAAAAAAATTAAAAAAGAAAGTGTCCACATCTAGAAACCTGCTCGCGGGCCGGATGAAACCGCGGGCAGGCATGGTCTAATGAATGAATTTTTCTAAATTTCTTGTATTTGATAGTGCTCGGAGGTTGATGAGAATTGATTGGTATTATTGCTGATATCGCTCACCAACGAAAGCAGCGCATATTTATCTTGTTAAGAGACTGACATAAATTCAAATATTGAGCAGTTAACGGTTACGCAGACGTATATCGGTTACACCAGGGGTCGGCAACCTACGGCACACAGAGTAATATAATCCGGCTCGTGACACTTCACTGAATTATAGTAACAAAACAGCCGTTTTGACGATTATATTCTTTAGTTTAAATTGTATTATAACCTAACAATTATATAATTCACAATCACTCGTTTAATGAGCATATGATTTAATTATAATTAGACAAATAGCAACAAAAACGCAGAAAATTTGATGCTAGTGCAAAGGGTTCAATGGCGCTGAAAATTTTCAAATGGGATTTTATGAAATGCAATGAGGAAATAAATCTATATTCTATTCGATAGATGTATCACTGCTTGATTTTTATCATAAAAAGTATCATCCGTTCGGTTTTCAACTTTCTAAAAATATGTGCGGTCCGCAAATGACTTGCAACCCTTAATTTTGGCCCGCGAGCGAAAAAAGATTGCCGAGCCCTGGGTTACACGGACCTCCTCGTCGAAAATTTTGTTAACAGACTTCCCAGTAGAATTATTGGCCATATCAGAATGCAGACACTAGCCACTAGCTGAGTATTAGCATCTAGCAGTGCTAAGTAAAATAAACAATTTTGTAATTTAAGATTAGCAGGCATAATTGCAATAAGTTTTCAATGAATTAAGCCTTAACGCGTTTAAATTTCATTTAGTTAATTGTACTGATAACAATATTTTAATCAATTTTTTTGAAATTGCAAAGATACTGATAGGACAGATAGCTCATCAATCCCTATCGCCCATTAGCGCATCATACATTTAAATTACGATATATACCATTTGACACTAGTTTGAAATATTGAAAGAAATGGATACTGTCGGGACGGATGAAAATCTGCAATGAAAACCCTCGGAAAGAAATATATATATATATATACCCATCGAGGATGTACTGTTGAGGTTATTGTGACCACAGTATCCGAATCTTATTGGACACGGACACATATATCGTTTTAATATTATGTTTTTGTTAGAATTCTTCGTCGTGTTCTTGTTGTTATGAAATCGCTCTTCTCTTTAAGATGGGTTTTCAGGGAAATATATTTGTGGCGAACTTGATTCTATATCATTTTTTAGGCTTTTTTGCATTTACCGCGTACATAAAGTTGACTTCGTTTGTGAATAATATCGTTGCATTATTAGGAATAAAAGTAAATTCAACAAACCGAGGTTGTAATATACCTGATCTCTGTGCCAGACTCATTGCTGTAACATATTTCCAAGTGAAATAACGCATGCCAGGTCATTTTTGTCTCAAAAGATCTAGATTTCATTATTTGTGTTGGATTTGTCCGCTTGTTTGATCCTGTAGTTCTTTTGTTCTTGTCTAGATATATACTTGACGCCGTTTTTCAAATCGATTTTTCCTCGATCATTTTCTGGTCAATTACATTTCACCAAGCGTTTACAAGTTTTTATCATAACTAATTCATTCACGCCAATAAACGTTTTCTCACAAATTTCAATTAGTTGAGGCCCTGAAACAAGGTCGCCCAACTCGTGGCCCGCGGGCCACATGTGGCCCGCACAGAAGAGTTTCCGAGTGGCCCGTGCCATATATTTTGAAATTAAATAAACTAAACTTAACCCGATGTCTTCCACGAATTTGAGTCACAATTGACACCTTAAAAAATTAGGTAAAAAATGAAGCAAACTATTATTAAAAAAAATTATACCTAGTCGTTCAAACGCGAGAGAGACACGCATAAAGGAACATTTTCGAGACATCGCTTTCAATTTATTTTGGCTGTAGCGAGCACTAATATGGACGATTTGTTTATTTCAGCCTGTTGTATTCAACCACCCTTTACAACGAGCCGTGAATTTTATATAGGGCAATGCGTGTTACGGGATTCTGGTTTGTTTGTTCTGGCCGTCTACATCCCAATATCGGTTCTCGTTATCACATGTACAAAACTTTGCGCTCTGTTCGACATCGATGTGTTTCTATTTTTGATGGACCGCGCGTTTTGCTCAACAAAATCGAAAGCCAAAGTGCGCTCATTGGTCGAGGAAAATTATAGGTATATGCAACCCAAATTTAATTCATGATGACTATTATCTTTAGTGTATGGGCCAGGGCTTGCCAACATGACAATCGATCGGTCGATCGCCAAGTCTCAAGTAGTCAGTTGATCGTGTCTGATATTGAGTGAATTTGATGTATTACCCAAAAATTTGCCTGGAACCAGTTTCATGTAGTGCCTGTAGAGTTTATTACTACAGGAAGAATACAATACCCTACATGCGCAAAATACGATGCACACACACAGTATTTAAGTCTGGGTACCTTGACCGACGAACAACCCTTTAATAACTTCCGCGAACAGCGGAACTGCGTACACGTTCGTCGGTCAAGGCGGTACGCGGAAGTTATTGTCTTGCTCCAAAAGTAGTGTGATAAATTTATTCGCAGCGGTAGCAGTTACATCAGAATGACCAATGTTTTCTAATTCCAAGCGAACAAAGAATCGAACTTGTAAAATTGAAGAAAATTGTAAAATAGATACTGAAGTTCGAGCATTCATATAACATTTATGGTTTGAGAATATTTATTGTTCGCTGTTTAGATAATACATGGATACTTGGCGAGGTTTTTTGAGGATTTTTCAACACTTACGACTAAAATTAGGCAGACCCAAATCTGAATTGTATGATTTGAATAAATCTCAAATAAATGATGAAACGTTTACTCCGAGTACAATTACATATTCAAATTAAATCGAACGTGGAAAATACGATTATTTGTGGCGATTTCATCGAGAGTACGCCCACAGAACCGAGCTTCCT